CCACAACAGCATGATCTCTGCTGCATCTTACCTCGTTTATGCTGTTCGGGTAATCCACGAAGAAGGCAACAGCCTTTGGCAGCTTAAGAGGAGAGTCAGGTTGCCGTCGCAATATATTTTCAGCTTTGCAGATGCAACGGATAAGCATTTGCTTCTTCGTGGGATTCCATGGAATTTGCACCTGGAGCCTTCTACTCATGACGTTGACATAGGATACTTCTCTGTTGAGTTTGAGTCTATGCAGGTTGAGAAAATTTGTGGCCTCAGGAACCTTCTATATGCCAAACAGTACACTGGTTTTCCACCGTCATTGTGCCTACCAAGAATATGAAGTGGTAAACTTGCTATCCAACTTTTCCATGCTTCTTGTATACGTTTTGCAGACAATGGGCAGTTGCCCATGTGATGCAGAGTCTGTTCTGGTGTGAAAACTTTACTTATCTGGTAATTCAACGTTTGGTAATTTGGTAAATGTCTTTTGGTTTGAGTGGAACAGGAAATAAGAGTACCAATCATGTTTTGTTTTGGACTTTGCAATATTGTTAAGTGCTTGTTCTACACTTCAAATTCGCTAGTGGCCTAGTGGGCTAGTGGCCTATAGTTTAGACTTCAGTTGGGAATGCATGAAAAGATAGATTTTCTGTAGGATCTTAGTCAGACGACTCTGTTTTGCCACATGGCACATTGAAATTTAAGCGCATAAGGCGGAAAAAGGGTGCAGTTGTGTTTGTGATGTTCCTGTATATGCTAACAAACTATGAACTAATGCATAGAGAATAGCAGGCTGAAGTGCTAGTGTCCTTGGTTGTAATCACGAATGCATTGCTAATAATATCTCATAGTTGTTTGGTTCTTGCTGGTGTTTTGTTATGCTTTAGTATTAGTATGCATTAGTTCTCTTAGTAGTTTGTTAACCGCACGGATGAAATAAACTTTCTTTGAACTGGACCTCAATATATTTGGGACTGGGGCATCTCATTGTGGTACTATCGATCTAGAAAGAGCTACTTTTTCTTGGATCCCCCTTCCCTACTGATGTCCTAGTATTGTAAACTTTGTTCTATGTTCTCATACTTGATACTATTTGTGAAGGTGACTTCACATGTGAATGAAGTGCGCTGGCTATCCACAGTAATCTGGTGGTTTGGAAAGGAAGCAAATGATTCATGTATGAACTACTAGCAGGGTCATTAAGGAGTAAGGACTTAAGGACTGAGGAGCAGTTGGATGATCTGTTTTTCAGTCCTTTAGGGCATGTTTGGAGGCAGCTTTCCCGTGCTGCCATCCAAACATGGCCTTATTTACTCACCATGCCAATATTTTGATGTAATTCTGCATCCACTTCTGCCAGAGTTTTGATGCAATGCCGCATCATATCCTGGAAGGCTGGAAATGTTTATTTGGTGTTCAACATCTCTCTGAACTTGATGATTTTTTTCTCAAAGCAGCATACCATGCCAGTCTTTGTTCAATGGAGCCATTATTGCACTTAGCGCGTGCTGTTACGTGCCTCTATTGCTGTTATTAGGCCGCTATTTGCTATATGGATGGTTCATGTAACAATGTTGATTGTACCTATGGCAACAAGAATGTTGTGAATGATGATTCGGATGATAGGATTACAAATATTGTTCTTTTGAATTGATATGAGAACTTAATGTTATTGTTTTAGAGTGTCTTCCTTATATCTTATTTATTTATGGTTTTTATGGTTTTTTATACAGTGAAATCTAGTAATTAACTAAAAACTTCTAATTATATTTAGCAAACCTGATGTAAGTGTTGATATAAGCTCTAAATTTTGATTGATGTTAACATTCTGTTATTAGAATTTAGTGCTTAGTATCCACAATCTACTATACAAACACTAATTTGTCATGAGGCCGATATCCGCTATTCATACCCCTTTTGGTAGCTCTTGACGGCTTTGGCTCCGGTTCCTCTATGCATTCTAGTAGTTTTTTTTTTATCTCTCTCTCTCCTCTTAAAATGCACTAAGAGCTAGTGAAACCACTATTTTATGCTTCACCGGCTTCAGCTCCACACACTATAGCGAGGAGCCAGAGCTGAGTTGGTGAAACCACTATTTTCAAGATTCATAGATGTGTTCCTAATCAAAATGTTTTGTTTTCGATATTCTGACTTTTTTTTTTTTAAAGTTAAACAGTACCTCCATGAACATACATGTACACTCATGCTTATAAATACAAGCATGCAAAGTCTACCTTTATAAGCACCTTTGAAAGACTAAACCAACAGATCTTGAAGTTGACGAAGTCACATGGGCATGATGTTGTTGATGGGCGTTGTCTACCACTAAAAGAATAGCCTCATTAAGTTCTAGAATAAATAAATTAAATAAATCCAATAAATGGGAGTTTGATCGATCTATACGTATAGCCGTGTCCACGGTCATGGACATTCATATGTTTCTCGCTTCCCTTGACTAGAGAGTGATGTTTTATTCTCTTCCCCTGGATTGGATAAGGATCCGACCTGAGACCATTGAGGCAAGGACCAGAAAGAATTGCCCTTGTCGACTACAGAGCATGGTTGTGAGAGTGTGGTGTGACCGTGTTGGATATGGGATATGTGGATGGATGGATCGGATGATACTGTGGTTATTTATACCTTGATGCTTAGATTCGCATAGGAAACCCACAACCAAATGATAGGTTCTCTTCCTTACCCTTCTATACCACTTACCACATTGCAAGAAAGCATAGGATGAGTATCAATGGCCAGTACAACCCGTACTAAAAATTTGTGATACAAGTGAGGAGCCCGAGTATGACTTCGCCAATGATAGTTGGGAGGATTAGATGATCTTGTCCTACGCTCAAGTTGCGAGTTGGAGTCTTCACCCGTCGAGACACTTCATTCTACTCTGATGTTGTTCTATGTGTGTGTGATTCCGCCAATGTGGCGATGTAATAGTTAGGGGTAAACCTCTCTATTGTACCCTTCTAAGACATGTATTCGCTATGTATGAACTCTGATATCGCTAGATTCCGATAATGTGATGGTTTGTTCTCTAGGACTATCACATTGATTTGTTATGTGGATTTCCCTTCGAGGAAACCACGGATCATTTCAGTTTGCTCTTTTGTGTAGCTAGTTAGAGTAGTCTTTTAGCTAGTAGCTCTTATGTGGTAAAGTGTATTAGAATAGAATTCAATTGTTACTAGTATTATGTAGGGGCTTGCTTGGGCGAACTAGAGCTAGTGCAAGTAATGGCTATTATGATTTGTTATTTTACTAACTACCTTGCTCTAGTGTTTGTGCACTTTGTAGAGAAACTTTTATAGGGTATTCAACCCTCTCTAGCCATCTAAATCCTTCACCAACTGGACGATCCATGTACGAGTGTGGAGTGGTGGCCCACATTGCTTCGCCTCCCCGCTTGTTGATAGCTAGGCCCATGTGGCAATGGCCCAGCGCCCTTTCTTCTTTCTCGAGCCAAAATTGCCGTCGCCGTCGTTCTTCCCCACCCGAAATGTTCTACCATAGTGGCCATGATAATGGTTGCCCCCTTAGCTCAATGGTCGTAGTGGGACGCTCACGCACACCAACTGCCTCTCTATAGGCTATAACATGGCTGGAGCCACCCCCTAGTTCCGCCCCTTTCCATCGGAGCTTCCCAACCATTGAGATAGTGCCACCGAGCTTCGCATGGTAAGGCCACGTCCAAAGAAAGTGGCCACGATGTTTCCCCTTTTGTGTTTTGCCCGAAATCGCTCAAAGGAGCTCTCTCTCTCTCTCTCTCAGCCATTGCCACCCGTGGACAGCCACCACGGTGAGTCAATGGGACACGCGTCGCGATTACGTGTTATCGTAGCGGTAGCGCCGTGCGACGCCGTTGTAGACAATTTTTCCCCCGACGACCACCCAACATCTAAGCTCCATATGCCATAGATCCACTCGTTGACTGACGTAGGTTACACGTACCATTGAGGACATTTTTGGTCCACCGTGGACCCGTGAGTTGGGTGCACAGCTTGAGTGCACGCCTCGGTCCTTGACGACAACTAGTCCGAGCCTAATACGTGGCGCAACCTCAGTGAGCCCGGAGCTAGGTATTAAATGAAGAGGGCAGGGGCAATGATGTCATTTCATGTGTCCGTGCTAACTAGGCTCCACAGTGGCTAATGGGCAAAAAAAAATTGTGTTGCTAAAACTTTTTCCTCGTAGTAATTCTTTAAGGTCTATTCTAATAATCATACTCTCTCTGTCCAAAAAGAGTGCAACTATAGTTTGAGTGTCAATTAAAGTGATTCACAAAATTTCTAATGAATAATATTCACGTTTATGGCTCTAAATCAATTTATTATGAAATATATTTCATAATTAATTTAATGATATTTATTTGATATCATAAATATTGATACTTAAGATAATAAAACTTAGACAATTGTTTAAAACATGTCAATTGCTAGAATTGTTTTTTTTTTGACGGAGTGAGTATCTGAAGAGGCACCATTCTTAATAATTGCAATGCAAAAGGTTAGATTATCCCTGAAATTTGTAACCCCGTTCACCACTTGCTTCTCTTTCCCCCGTCTCTCTCTCGTAGGTCGTGGCGCAAGTGGACGACCGCCGCTGCCGCCGCCCTGTGCCACGTGTCCGGGTTAGCCTCGTCGGTTCCTTCGCCAGGTCTTCGCCGGGCTCTTACCCGGCGACCAACACCCACCAGTTATGCGCATCTCTTCTCTTCACTTACTGTTGTGCTTGTGCAAAACCAAAGCAACCGAACCCTAGCTTCTATTTGTTTTTTTTACGGGTCTGATATAGTTAAGTTCATATATGTATTATATGCCTAACAAATCCTATTTATTTGCAAAAGTTACGGGAGGACATGTGTACTTGTCCTTTACTGGTTTCCCCCTGGGTACACTATTTGCTATGCAATTATGTGATGAATTTAAATATGAATTATGTAGGTTTTGAGATGCAGAACTTCTTACGCATATCCTTTGAATAAGAGTCTGGCAAGTTTGCCAATGGATCGAGTACCAAGTGGAAGGCGCAAGGGTTCTCTCAACCCAAGAGTTGTTGTGCTTGATTCATCAGATTCTGACTCTGAAGGTAACAGCACATTCAGTTTCCTTGATATAGTATTTATGATTGAACTCTTGACATTTTAGACATATCATGTATGACATGTTTACTGTTCTGTTGCCTAGTCTTTATTAATGTAAGGAATCTTCTAGGACATTCAGGAGAGAAAAAAAAACCCTCACATGATTGTAATGATCATTGTTTGGGTCTTTTGATTCCAATATACCATGGCAATGCCCGTCAGCTTTTCTTGGTAGGCTTCGTATAGTTGATATATTACTAAGGAAAACCTGGTGGCAGATGAATAAATACCATTTTCTAACTGCCGTTTGGTTTTTATTTGCAGTCTACACATTCACTCTCTAGTCGTTGACACCAATTAAGTGTCAACATGCATATCATTTTGATTGGAAAGCATACTACGAAAAACTCTTGAGTCTTGAGTCATGATTGATAGGTGCAGTGTGCATGACAGATTCCACGTGATAACAATTAAATTGCATATATGCTGTGCTTCTTCAGTATTTTGATAAGAGCAAAATAAGGAACCCCATTACATCAAGATAATTCTAAAATCTATAATGTAGCTGAATGTTACTGCACATGAATAATGTAACGCATGGTTGATACCTGCAGCACTCATATAGTGCCTCCTGTTTCTAGGTTTTGTAGAAGAGCTTACTCCAGTTCACTCCAAGTCAAATGGGAAGGCTTCATCTGAGAGCCTAAAAACTGATGGAAAGCCTTCATCCTTTTCTAAAGGTATGCATGCACAATGTTACTACACATCATCCCCTTCAAAATGTACTTAAATATTCATGCTAGAGATCAGGATATTTTCGTCTTCTGTTGTTACATCTCTCTCACTTGTTATATTCTCAGTGTTAATCTATATTTATCTCCCTTCTTAGGAGAGGCAAGCAAAGGAAAGGCATATAGTGGTGACAAAGGTGGAAAGGGTTCTGCATCCAATACAATGCCTACTAAATCCGATGCAGAATTGAAGCTGGAGCTTGGTCAGTTCCCTTCAGTGAAATTTTCAAAATGCAGCTATTTTGATGCTATAATCTTCTATTGCTGAAATTGACTATTATGATGGAGGGCTAAGATTTTCAACCTCATTTGAAGGCCATTATAGACTCAAACTGTAGCAGCCCATTTGTGAAAAGAAGACCAACTTATGTGTTGTGGTATTTTCCTTGGTGCATTTTGGTGCCTCAACACATTCAGGAGACTTTGGGACCTCAAAACAGCACCCATGCTGCTTGGCTTTGGGAGTTCTTCCACCTTGAGAACTTAAGCTTAGGGAGAATTTGTATTGGGAATAGACTGTCTTTCCTCACTGTATCTTTAGAATCAAGCATTGATTCTACAAGGACTGGACAGTGGTTTATGAGAAATTTGGAATCTGTCCTTATTTGTTGCCTCCAATGTATCTTTATTGGATTAATTTCTCTACTGGCCTTGTGACTTTTCCCGCATAATTTTCCACTTAAATAATCTTGCCACTCCCATTTGTATATACTGTGATTCTTGATCTTAAATTGGCCACTTTGCTTGCTACTTAAACCATGTAGAGATGGGCATGGTGTATTCTCACGTCTTGTTAATGGGCGTGCTTAGAGTTCGACATTCTGCCATTCATGGGATCATGTTTCTGCAGTCAGCTTATTCTTGCAAATATCTATTTCAGAAGCCTCAGATAATGGGTGGGTGTTGTTGATTAGCAACTTGCTTGTTGATAGATGTGTGCACAACATAGGGCATCCAGTAAAATGCATTTGAGAATTTTGCTATATATTTGTGTTGTTCCACCGTGTATTTAGCACTCAAATGTCATCGTAAGTGGTATATACAACAACAACAACAACAACATAGCCTTTCAGTCCCAAGCAAGTTGAGGTAGGTTAGAGTTGAAACCACCAAGAGCCCGAAGTCACGGTTCAGGCACTTCAATAGCTGCTTTCCAAGTACTCCTATTCAAATATAGATCTCTAGGTATATCTCAAGCTTTCAAATATTTTTTTATTGCCTTCCCCATGTCAATTTCGGTCTTCCTCTACCTCTCCTCATATTATTAGCTTGGCTTAAGACTCCACAATGCACTGGTGTCTCTGGAGGTCTCCTTTGAACATGGCCAAACCACAACAAACCGATGTTGGACAAGCTTTTGTTCAATTGATGCTACTTTAGACGATCACGTATATCATCGTTCCGAACTCGGTCCATTCTTGTGTGACCGCAAATCCATCACAACATACGCATTTCTGCGACACTCAGTTGTTGAACATGTCGAATCTTTGTAGGCCAACATTCTGCTCCGTACAACATAGCCGGTCTAATTGCCGTTCTATAGAACTTGCCTTTTAGCTTTTGTGGTACCCTTTTGTCACAGATAATGTCAGAAGCTTGTCGCCACTTGATCCACCCTGCTTTGATTCTATGGCTAACGTCCGCATCAATATCTCCATCTCTCTGTAGCATCGATCTCAGATACCGAAAGGTATCCTTCTTAGGCATTACTTCACATCTCCCTCCTCCTGTACAACTCCACCAAAGTCGCATCTCATATATTCGGTTTTAGTTCTGCTCAATCTAAAACCTTTAGACTCAAGGGTCTGCCGCCATAACTCTAGTTTCCTATTTACTCCCGCCTGACTTTTGTCCACTAACACTACATCATCAGCGAACAACATACACCAAGGGATATCCTCTTGTATGTTCCTGGTAACCTCATCCATTACCAAGGTAAAGAGATACGGGCTTAAGACTGACCCTTGATGAAATCCAATTTTAATCGGAAAGTAATATGTGTTACCATCGTTTGTTCGAACACTAGTCACAACATTGTTGTACATATCCTTGATGAGGGTCACGTATTTTGATGGGACTTTATGTAAGTGGTATATGGTTATGTAAAATACTTTGTGTAAATTCTGAAATGCACGACAATCTGATTTCCATGAGCCCTTCTCTAAATGAACCGTGTTAAGCTAATCCTGCGAGTTTCTAATGCAATGGCATGTGTGGAAAAAATCTTATTGATCTTATAATTGGTTGCAGATATCCCCCCAAATTGTAGAATGCTAATGAACTGTGAAGGAGCTGAACTCTTGCAAGAAATTCATGAGCATATGGCTATCTTATCAGAGGACCCCGAGATCAAAATTCCTGAGTAAGAATGTTTCATATTTATCATTTCTTCTAGCCTACTAATCATTTTCTGTGCTACGTGCACATCTCTGAGCTCTTTGGCTAGTTTACTCTATCCTGTTGCTTCTGTAGGTCATTTGACAAAGCTTTCCAATATGCAAAAGATGGAAATCATTTCACCACTGCAAACTCTGCAAAACAAGCCCTGGAGTATCCTAATATTTTGTTTAGGCTAGAAACACTAGAACTTGCATCTATTTTGAGTTACATTATTTTATCAAGCTAGCATCTTATCCGTGATTCAGTTCTGTTCCTTAGCTAGTTGCTGGAGATCTCTAAAAAATTGAGGGGTCGATGATGGCGAGGTTTGTTACTTAGTTTCCTGTTCCTTTCCTTACATCTTCGATGTCACACACAGCAGCCTCATCTCACTCAACCGTTGTGGTGTGCTTGCAGCAGATATGCATGATAGCAAACATCGGACCTGAGACCATTGAAGAGTTTTATGCACTAGTGCCATCTCTCAAAGTCAGCCTCTTGTCACTTCCAATACTTTGGCGTTTTGAACACGACATCTAATGCTTCCATGATGAAAATTTGTGGTCCAGGCCAATAGGTCACTAACCGAAGGTCCAATTACTGAGGTTCTTGCTGCTCTCGCTGACATAAAAGCTGCCAATTGAATCTCCAACGGAACTAGGCAGGTATAGTAATACCCTTGATACAGATACTTGAATTAACACCTCTATCCTTGATTGTACACCTTTCTTACTGGCCTCAATTACCTCCCGAATCTGAAGCAGCCATGTTGCTGATCAAGGAACGCTGAATCTGCAAATTAACAGGCCCGTTGATGTTTTCGATGTTCTGCTTAATCGAGTTGTGCTGTGTATGTAAAACCGTGGCGTGTGCCGAATGCTCTCTAGGATATCTTAATGGATGAACTGCAGATTCGGTAAACTAGTTTACTCAGAACTGCGATGTACGGTCTGCAATCTGTGGGTACTAGTTTGAAAACAGTGAAGATGTTGACTTACTGCCATATGTTGGTTCGTGCTTCTCGACCAGTGGTTTTCATGTTTGCCATCCAATTCAAGCAAAGGCAGCATGCAACGCGTGCAATAGATCCATGTGACTCAAAAGCATCATCTAGTTCTATGCTTAATTAATAATTAGATTCAATGTGTGCGCTCGGCTTGTCTGTGTGGGAGGTAGCAGCGCAGGCTGTGCAGGGAGTGGAAGGTCTGAAGACAGATAAGGTAAAGGGCCAACGTTTTCGACCTCAGCCACGGAGCTCAATCGGCGTCCATGGCAAGGGGATCAGGGGAGGGGAGACGAAGGAAGAAGAAACAGAGGACAACAAAGAGTGGCTATCCGCGGCGAACTGGCTGGCAGTGAGCAGTTAAATTTCCGCATGCTGACAGTACTGGATGGAGGTGGCTGGCTGCCATTTTCTGTCTCACTTGCAGGCAGACCGAAATTGCAGGCTGTTGGAGAAGTACTGATGCTGTTGGATCTTGGATGCAGCATGATGCCCATACAGACTCTCTGATTACTTGTTCCCCCTTCCTGGTGCTGTATAGTATTAAACAGCAAAATGATACATAGAATGCCACAAATGCTCTTTCAGACGATGAGATACTGACATGTGTATTGTTTTTTCGAACAAACAAATGTTCACCGAGTGCATGGTCCCTGCCTGTAGCAAGATCTGCATGCCTCACTGGTCACCGGATCTTTGGTCACCGGATCTCGAAGAGGACACAACCGAGCCTGCACTGCTCCATGCATGAGCGTGACAGCATACGAGTGCAGTACGAAAAACATCAGACGGAAACTCATCGCAACTGCCTCACTGGTCATGTACGTTCAGTGTGACGGCATTTGACTTCAATTCCTCGTGCCTTGGCTCCAGTCTCAAGTCTGACACAGTGACACTTCATCAGCAGTTATACTGATGTCAAACAGGCCAGGACTCTGCAGCCTCTCTCGTTTCAGTTTCAGTAGCGGTAACAAGACACGCTCTTTCCTTGTAGCAATAGCATCGCCCGTACCAAGCACTAAAAATTCGGGCTTGCTTTTTTTTTTCCTGACACACACATATGACATTTTTACAGTGCAGAAAGTAGGATATTTTCAGAGAACGGAAAAGAAATCCAAGGAGAAGCGTGCAAATTTTAAGACTCCCAACAAAACGGTACTGCAAACACTATCAGAACCAGTTTGTACAAAAAATCCAGGTGCAGAGAGAGTACTTGGATTGGCATCTTTATACTATGCGTGGCCAGTTGGTGACTTCACTTTAGAATATATCAAGTACATTGGTACACGAACATTTGATTTTTGTGTCTGTTGATTGAGCAGCTGCTAAATTAATTGTTAATCAAGCAGGTCTTATCAGTTCATCCCAGCCCAATGGCCAATGATGAATGCGTATATACATCGTCCATGAGGAGTTTGGACAACGTTCATGTGCTTTTCCTGCAGTGTTATGCTGAGCTGAGGCGCATCTGACTTGGAAAATCTCGTGCCTTGTTCAGAGTCCAGTGTCGTCTGACACTTGATGAGCAGGAGCAGAGCAGTTACACTGCTGTCAAGCAAGCCAGGCCTCTGCAGCCCATCTCGTTTTTGGACACAGCAATAGGACATCACACGGGGCCGGGCACGGCCTGGCTAAACAGCGAACGCCTGCCTAAATTAAATGTAGCGAACGATTTGCAGACAACATCTTTCTTTTTAGGACGACAACAACAAAGTCTTTTAAGTTCTAAACAAAATAGAGCATACTAGAGTTGAAATTCAACAGAAACAATCAAGATTCAGACACGTGAATAGCTGTTTTCCGATCAACAGACATCTTTCTTTTTCTGGGAAAAAATAATTTCCAACAGTTTTCTTTTCTGAACGCGCCCAGCGTTCTCTTTTCACGCGTGCTTTCCCATACTGCTGACGTCATTCTAAAAAAAAGTAAAACATTTATTTCAAATTACTATAACTCCTAAACGGTGTATCCATTTTTAATTCCGTCTACACCGTGTGTCCTATACGATGAGGCGAACAAAACTAGACCCTACTTGCATATATTTTGAAAGAATTCTTTTTCTAGTAGCAATTTATGTGTACTGACTTATAACATATAACTTATAACAAATAACACAGATAACTTAAACGTATAACTTTTACGTAACAAGTTATGCGTATAACTTATACATATAACTTTTATGTGACAAGTTATGCATATAATTTATACATATAACTTACTACATGACAAAATTAGATGACCTATATGTAAAAAGTTAGATTTATAAGATATAGATGAACAAACTTGTATGTATAAGTCAACATTGATAGCTTATATTATAATAACTTGTTTGTACAACTTATAAGTTAGATGAACAAACTTGTATGTATAACTCAATATTGATAACTTATATTATAATAACTTGTTTGTATAACTTAGAAATATAACTTAATTAATAAATTAGATGTAAAGACGTATAAGTTATATTCCAGAACTTAGATGTGTAAATTAATATCATAACATATTAGCCAAAATATAAAAACATGGTGTACAAATTTATATTATACGTGTATAACTAGTATATGAATCATATACGATCATGTAAAATACATAAGTCAATGTATGAAAATTAAAAGGCAAAGAAAAAAAGTAGAAAAAAAAAAAAGAAAAACTTAGAAACACAACTTATGTACAAAAGTTATCAAACACAACTTAAGGACATGAGTTATTCTATACAACTTGCCAACGCTGCCAAAAAGAAATAAAAAAGAAAAATAGATAAAAGAAGAATAAAAATGTAAAAAATAAAAGAATACTAAAAAACACATAAAACAATAACTAAATAATAATAAAAAAATAAAAGAGAGAGAGAAGCGCGTGCGTGCAGCAGGAGTGGGCGCATGCAAGAGTGTTGAAAAAATTATTGCTTTCTGCCTTCACACAAGCATGCAGAAAAAGCTTGCAGCAGGAGTGGTGGGGATGCGCTCGGCGTGGTACACTGAGATTGTGAACGTTCATTGAATTGGAATTGGGGTGCACAACCTACGTCACTTGGAGTCGATCGGCTCCGAAAAAAGAACGTTCACGAAAAAATGAATCCGGCGTAATAGGACAGAAAAGGAAAGAGATGAGTCAAGGGAGTACTGTTCGCTGGGTTGAAGGCGAGCGGACGACCGCCAGTATGGAACTGGGGGCCGGGCACGTTCTTTCATCGCAAGGCTGTACTACTGCGTATACCAAGCACCGTAAAATTTGGACTCGTAACCGCGCGCGCATTGGCATATATATATATCCTGTACTGTATATAACAAGTACGAAATTTTCAGAGGTAGAGGTAAGAGACAGGGAATCCAAGAAGTATGCAAAGTTTAGGGCTCGCAAATAGACGGTCCTTGGAAACACCATCACGCTGGTTTGTACAGATCTAAGCGCAAGGATGGGATATGTCGTCACTTGGAGTATCTAGTGCATTGGTCCTGGTGTTGCACTGCCACTGGCATGCTAGCCAAATGCCCAAACAGGTGTTAATTAAAAGGGTCTATGTCTCTATGGCAGGTGACTGATGGTTTACTTAACTATCAGTCATGCTCTTGTGATGTATTTTGTGATGTTTACGTAATAAACCTGTAATGTTCACGTAGTATATGATGTTCTATAATGTCGTGATGTTCACGTAATATATATATATATATATATATGATATTCTATGTTGTATTTTAGGATGTTCAAGTTATGCACATGTGGTGTTCCGTTATGTTATGTGATGTATTTTAATGTTCTGTGATGTTCTCAGGCGGCCGCTAAAATACATGTGATGTTCTGTGATGTACTTTATAATGTTCTTTGATGCATTTTGTAATGTTCCGGTAATATACATATGATGTTCTGTGAAATTTGACTGACAAGAAAACAAAATATCAAGCAACTGTATTTGAGTAAAACTCTAATTAAAATTCTTCATTAGTTCATCACAAACTCAATGATAGAACGCAAAAGTTGGTATCATCGCTAATTTGGAGTTTGAGAACCATATCATTCTCGGAGTAATAACTAAATATACTAGTGTTAGTAGTATCGATTTTGGCTTAAAAAATTCATCCCAGGTCAAAGCAATCACAACTATATGGACGCATATAAGAAAAAGGATCGTGTTCGTACTTGCATGCATTGCATGCAGTGCGTATAGATCGCAATTCACAGGCCCCTGCATGCAAGAAACCCCACAAGCTGAGCGACAGGCTGCAGGTAAACGTGAGAACAATGTG